TTGTGTTTTTCAGACCTCCAGAAAAGTAGTAGGCCTACAGTAGACCATCACAACGTCCTTCGACACTCTTTCCATTTCATCAGTTATGAACCGTGATACAACTGGACGCTATATAATGTGAGATATTGATAGCATTTTTAAGTCATGATAAATAATATACATTTATTGGTTGTGTACAAATTCATTAAATTAAATATATGAATTAGGCACAGTACTACAATCTGCAACAGAGTTCATATTAGATGAATATGAATTCTTCGAACTGTTACTAGTTGGGTGAAACAATGAAGAAATACATTCGAGACATATTATTTTCCCGGTAACTCGGTATCCCGCCGCAGAAAGCGCTCTATACTTCGCAGTCTAAATTCCTGAATCTTATTGCATCTCATATCTCTTGCCCTAATACACATCTTTGCATGAGCAAAATAAAGTATTGTTTAGATCTTGGAAGCATTAATGTCACCTAAAGAATAACGTATTAAAAATTAAGATCTAACCAAGAAAAGACACTGCATCACCATTACAAAACTGCTCTGTTAATGGTGTATTGGAAAATTATCAAAACACCTCTGACACAATCACAGTTAATACAAGAAGTTTATAATATTAAAAATAAGAAAAAATACTTATTTAGAAACAAATCTAGACGAATTTTAATCAGTAGAGGTAGCAACATGATATACGTAATTAAAATATTAACGTGTAATTGACTATAGGATTTGTAATTCCATTCAGGGCCTAGAATATGAGATCAGAAAGTCAAAATCCGGTGCCCCAAAATGTAATTTGTAATGAAATTAATAAAATATTCGAATTATTCATAAAATTTTCCACGAAATCTATCTCACAGCACGTCTCGTTAAATATGAGAACTGATAGTTTTAAAATGAATTCAATAGAAATAACAGAGATCCTTTTCTCCGTTTTCCGTCCTGGCTTTGTCACTTCATGTATCTGATCTCTCGAATTTTCACCGCTACCTGCTCTCCATATCCCCTTTGCTACACCTCGATACTTCATAATGATCTTAATTGTCTTTTGGGATATGTTGCTCTTTAGTCTGGTACAACACTATTAATTTTGTACGATAAGCAGTTGCCTGTATCATCATGTTTCACAGATTTTTCCCAAACATTTGTAACCTTCTGCTGGGCTACAGAGCCTCATGACCCAGAAGAGGATAATTTTCGTGGTCAGGGTCATCATGAGTACCTCAGTCGTAGTTTAACATATGCCTGTACTTATACTGAGGTCTTCCACTTCTCATTAGCCCAATTCCAGATCAGCGCCAATAAACCTTTTCGGTGAAACAGACAGATTCTAAATTTTCATGTTTTCATATTATTTTTTGGAGGACGTTCTTAATGTCCTCCAACTTGATCGTTTGGCAGAGACATAGTAATTCAGAGCACATTACACAGTATCGGAATTACTCAGTATATTAACAGAATGCAGTCGGTTTGTACTATGAAGGTCTAAGCATTTCATAAATACATGTACTTCAAACTACAGCACAGCAGGTCTTTGTTGTGTCTACACAGTTCCATGCGCAACACAGTTGCGTCGAATGAAAATGTATTATCCAACGAAGAGATATCAAGTACGCGTGGTGCGGTCCCAACTCCAGCGCCCTCCTATAACAGCAAATTGAACGACACGAAGGGTGACGGGTTTCTAGCAGAAGCGGTTGCATAAGCATTGACTGTGTAATAGAAAGATTTGATCTGTATTTATGAATTTTGTTACAAGAAACATCTTTCTAAATATATGATGCTTTCCTGCAATGCAAATAGAGGCTGTAGTGGAATATGACATTGATAAAACTTGGTTATGGACTCAGTACTTCATTAATTATTCCTCGAATATTGCTTATAACCTTGAATAAGTTCACTTGTTATTTTCATGAACATTACAAACAAATCAGAAACAACAATATTTAAAATTTATGCCTACAAATCTGTCTTTCCTCCGCCGAGGCTGCCGTTTTACTCTACCACCTAAATAAAATGCAGCACTTACAGATCTTTATTTCCTCATTTGCTGCTGTATTCAGCCCGGCTCTGGAACTGTCCAGCTTAAAATACAGCTTATCTCAATGGGTAAAGGGCTCGGGGCGCAAGAATAAACACCCCTCTCCATCCAGTGTCGAGGTTATGATTTATCTAGGTTAGTTGTCTCTTCCGGGAGTTCACGACACAATTGTTTATCGTAATTATAAACACTACTCGTGCAGTCAGATTTCGACATTTGTTGAAATTAGTCAATACAAAATAAAGTCAAATTTACTGCTTTTATATTTAAAAAACTGAAATTGTAATTCATATTTTTCTTACTTTAAGGGTGTAAGGTTATAGTGCCACAATTTTTATGCCTTTTTTTGGATATTAAAATTCTTTATACAATATATCATTAACCACTACTCATTAATATGACATCAATGAAAAGAAAAGTAAAGCTATCCCTGTAACAGACCGTGAAGGCCCATAGGGTTGTGAGACGTTGAGGGTCCCACATTATCTAGACAAGCGGCTCAGAGATGGCGGTAAGGTTGTCAGCCTTACGCGCCTGCCGCGCTTTACCCCCCAGGAAAATTATTTTATTCCTGGTACTCATTTCTCCTAGAGGCTGAGTCGACCCCAGGGCCATAGTGCGGCTGGAAGGATTAGGTCAATTGAAAAGAATCCAATGACTTCATATCAATAATCATCATCATTATTTCAGGTTATATATCAGAACTTACGGTGCTTCCATATAGTGTAACAACAATTTTAGCAGAAATTCACAGAGTTGAATTTATTTGAATCCAATATGATGATGAGTGTTTGATGAAAACCAGAAGGGGAAGTAACGTAAAAAAATTGGAAATAACTTTTCTAAACACTCGTTCGTTATGTTTTCGCTTGAGATTACAAAATATAAAATTATAACAACTTTTAAGAACAAACCACAAAAGCAAAGCAGCTCTAAATTTGTTATTCTCAGATATGAAATCTACAGAGGAAACCCCCTCTTCAATTGGAGTAAATGGGGTGGCTATAAATACAACATGATATGTAACATTTCACCAAAAAAGTATTTTTAGGAAAATATTTCTCTTCTTTAGACTACTAAGTAAAACTAAAACTGTACAAAAATACGAAAAACATTGACCTTACATTTTCCTGCATTAGTTTACGAACCCGGAGTCAGGAGTCGCAAGTTTGAAAACTAATATTGTTTCGTGCCCCAGATGGTAATTGTGCCAATGCACGGCTATCTCCGCCTTGTGGCCCCGGCATGGAAATTACAGTGTTTAGCTGCCGGTCGAGTCTTTAGCTGGAAGTAACGAGGCTAATAAGTTGGAACCGGAGGCCAAACTCTCTTGCATGTGCTCCGTTTATGCTTCGCACTGAGTCCCTCTCCATTTCTCATTCTTCTTTATGACTGAGTTTCTCCCATTCTCGGAGAATTTCGTGAAGAAAACACGAAACAATAACTTGGGTTCATATATTGTCACATGACTCTGGGCCAGAAGTTCTGAAACACTTTACGCTTAGCAACTTCTGAAGCAGTTAAAGGAATGGATTAAAGGAAAACATGGGAAATACACAACTCAAATATATCAGTTTATTTTAAATCTCTAAAGGTGTTACCGTGATATGTTTGTCACTTTCTACATTACGCCATTCTTCTTCGAGAAAATGATTATGTGAAATCAGAAGGGCAATTATTAACTTCTAAAATTGACGATTAAGTACGCATGTTACGCTTGGCAATCAACTTTCGTACCCCAAGCGTATTTTTTATAAATCGCAGCTGCATAGGCGGTGTTAGAACAAATGGACCCCAAATAGAGGATTCTTTGCACTTTCGTTCTTTCCAATGTTTATTACATTTCAGAATTCAATTACCAACATCATCCAATGTGTCTAGAGCTACGTGTATTTAGTGCCTTCAGGTTTCAAGCGTAATATATTTCACTGTATGATGTACAAAATCTAATTTTCTTTTGGAATCTACACAACATAAAATCCCAGAAACTATCACTAGTATATAGCTATGATCACATTAGAAAGATGAATATTTCCGTACACCAATTACCTGAAACTAAATTAAACACAAAGAAGGGATATACGGATGAAATTAAAGACATAATTTTCAATATTCGAGAAGCTAGTTATAATTTGATCATTATAAAATAAATTAAGTATCTTCAATATAATCAATCAATGCAAATTATGAAGACGATGTTTAAGTATGCGAATACAGGTGTTCAAAGTGGCCTGTCCTTTGCTTCTGACAGCCCTAATTTCTCCATCTTTTGGGTAGTCTTTCTAATATTATTAGAGTGATAAAGGAAAAGTAAATTGTGTGATAAGGGAAATCTTCCTGAACTGGAAAATTATTGACGTTCCTGCAGAATCATTATAGATCCTATGCATATTTCATTACATAAGAATTCTGCGATACTACAGTTTACAATTCATTGACGTAGTGTATAATAATTTGCAATTAAAATTCTAACTGTTGTAAAGCGTATTATCTCTAAGAATGTTGCACTGTTGCACAGACTTACCGGCGACGAAGGCTGCCAGCAGGGCGCAGATGATAAGGAGCCTGCCTCCCCCTCCTCTACTTTCCGAGCCCATCACAGGGGCACTAGGATCCCAGTGTCTGTAGCAGGATTACACCGAAGTGGGTCCGGGGCCCTGGCACCAAGCGGCCCCTCCTTCACGCACCCGCATCCTGTCACAAAAAATCAGCATCACTCTGTCTTCTNGAAAAGTAAATTGTATGATAAGGGAAATCTTCCTGAACTGGAAAATTATTGACGTTCCTGCAGAATCATTATAGGTCCTATGCATATTTCATTACATAAGAATTCTGCGATACTACAGTTTACAATTCATTGACGTAGTGTATAATAATTTGCAATTAAAATTCTAACTGTTGTAAAGCGTATTATCTCTAAGAATGTTGCACTGTTGCACAGACTTACCGGCGACGAAGGCTGCCAGCAGGGCGCAGATGATAAGGAGCCTGCCTCCCCCTCCTCTACTTTCCGAGCCCATCACAGGGGCACTAGGATCCCAGTGTCTGTAGCAGGATTACACCGAAGTGGGTCCGGGGCCCTGGCACCAAGCGGCCCCTCCTTCACGCACCCGCATCCTGTCACAAAAAATCAGCATCACTCTGTCTTCTAAACCGTTCGGTATCAAACCACGGCTCGGAAAGCAATTCGCAGCAAATTTTCTTCTCATACTTTTATATAATTTATGTCATCATTATTCGGAGATAATTTTACACAAATAAAGAGTTTTAATTTACTAGCATTAATAAAACAAATATAATTATGTTAAACAAGACCAAGTATATAAACCCAATTGAGACCTGTGAGGCATGAAATTCATACGGAGTTGTTCGTTTGTGGAAGGTGAGAAATTAAAGTTCTCTCTGTGCTTAAATACGCATCGTCAGATGAAGACACAAAAGGGAGTGGAGGTGCAGTTCCATGTATTCTTAACTACTGCACTGAGTGAAAGTAAGTTGACAACTTCAGGTTTCGGTCGCTTTAACCGCCAAAGAAATCGTCTCCGGTAGGTAGCCACTGAATAGAAGTTATGGACGTCACGGGGAAGAGGAAATCCCTTGTCCCTGCCGAAAACCGAACTCAGACTTCTCGGTCGTGCAGCTTGTACCCTAACCCGTTTACTGGCCGAAACTCTTGAACTGCAGTCACTGGAAGGGAACGGAGGTGGCTGGAAGAAATATCACGTGTTAGTGTCTAGACACGGGATGTAGACTGACGGTTCCATCTGCTGAACGCACGTGATGAGTTACACAAATTTAACGGTGTCACAAACCAGAGTAAAACAATGTTAACAGTCACCGCTGTGAGCACCACATAACTGATACACTCTCCTGTTTTCGGTCCAAGAAATTCTTACAATTCAACATTAAAGTGAAATCGGCTTATGCATACGGTAACACCAAGAAATCAACTTTAAAATTAACATAAATAACAGCTTTTTACAACAATCTGGTGAGAAGGCACTGACTGTGTGTTATCAGCTGATGATTGCGATGCGGTAAAGTCACTATGAATTACGAGCCAGAATGAGGCATTTTTGTTGTCCTTTTCCTTTTTCTCAAATACCCAGTGCAAAAACAAACAAAAAACTCCGTGGTTTTAATCTGCAAGCGAACTATACCGACCGAGTTACCGCCGCTTGTCGGCGAAGTTAGTGCTAACTTTAGCGGATAGAGGGTGTTGCCTGGTCAGCGCAACAAATCCTCACGGCCTTTGATTTCGGTTTTCTAAACAGAAGACGCTATTTCCTTCAAATAGCTCCTCAATTACCCTCATGAGGCTGAGTGGACGCCGTTCCAGACCCAATACTTCTCAGAAAATCTGGTAACACCGGAAATTGACCACGGACCTCTAGGTCTGTAGCCAGGAACTAAGACCACTAGACCACAGAGGTGGTCTCATATAAACCTAGTGCACTTGAGAAAATTTTGTGATGGTAACAATCGATGTGTGCATCATATTTTTGACTGATTTATACGATTTTGTTATGCCGTCTGTCTCCTTGTTTGAGTATATTGGCGTGCTCTTCAATAGCACCTGAAAGGTTGAACGGATTTATTGACTTTCGGTATTTAGGAGTCTGTCACAAGTCGCTGCCCACTGGGTATGATCATTCCAGCTACAAAAATTGGGGCCCTTCAAATGAACCCCAAAACACAGAATGGTGATAATTTCAAAAAAAAGATCTAACGATTTTGATCAAATATCAGTAATTTACGGGGGCACGCGGTAGCGTAGTTATTTGAGGCAATATGCTACAAGCCGGAGGTCGCGGGTTCAAGTCCCGATGAGGTAATTTGATTTCTTTTTAAATTGACTTAATCCTTCCAGCCGCACTATAGCCTTGGGGGTTGATTCAGCCTCTAACAGCAGTGAGTACCAGGAATATTTTTTGGAATATTCTTGGGGGTAAAGGGCAGCCGACTCTTAAAGCTGTCAACCTTTCGGTCATCTGTGAACCGATTGTGTATAAAATGTGGTAACCTCAACATCTCACAACCCTACGGGCCTCCACAACCTGTTACAGGGATACCTTTACTTTTACTTTTACTTATTTTTATCAGTAATTTACGCACAGCACCTCCAGAAAGAAAGTTGCACAATTTATATCATTAGGAAAATAACTGCCTTCGCACTAGGGTCCCAAATGAGAAATTTCGATATTATCAAAATCTACTCCACCGGTCAGATGGATTTAAATTCTGTTCGGTATTCCACAACCAACGAAGCTCTACCGAGCAACAGTGGATTTCTTTTCCAGGATGATACAAAGAATGCTAGGTGTATATGAGATAATGTATATACAAGGCCTTTGAACCGGTTTTTCTTATTTTACTTAACGAATCCTTCTCAACTGGACGCGTTATAAAATTTGGGCAGATGAACATGGAAATAGTCGGTACCAAATTTTAAATGACCGCCCATATAAAATTATACATTTTTTCTCTCTTCTTGCTCCAAAATTGGAGCATAGGGCTGATTGCTCAGTTTCATGATCATTTTACAGACGCTAAGACTCCTTAGACGGGTGATCAGCTCGTCGCAAGGCCTCTACCTAAACACAGGACAACAAAAACACAGAATAAACGCATACACAAAACATCCATGCTTTGTTTGGGATTCGAACCCACGATCCCGACTTCCGAGCGAGAGAAGACAATACATGCCTTAGACGGCTCGGCTACAGTGACCGGCCCATACAATTTTATGAGTACTTTATTTACTGGAGACTACGGAAGGCCTTGAACCAATAATAGTCTTATCCAGAATCGAAACCGGGACCTCAAGGAAAGAATGAATGGAATTTAACTATACTTTGTCGCGATATGCGGAGGGAGGTATGTGGCAATAGTCTTGACATTTATTGGATTACAAATTAGGACAACCAGTCCCTGTCCTGAATTCCAGGTGCTTACATCAGAATGAGAAACACTGCTATGTCTCCCTCGGTAATGAAGCTAAGGGCTGGTCGATATTAAATCGAAATATTTAGGCTTAACTTCTATCCACAGTCATGTTGATGATATAAACATTGACACTAATCTGTTAGCAACAGGATTTGTAAATTTAACGGCCACTAGTCCTTGAGATGATATTTGCTTTTCACTGATTTTAATTACGCGTGCAAATATTATGAGTTAATCCTCCGAGCTCATCATAATATTCTAACACAGATCTTGTTCAATTAAAGGTAATTCTACTTATGTGGCCACTCGGTTCGAACCTCACACTTGCACTAGCAACCCCCGAAAAAAGACTACTCAACTTGTCCCTTTTTAAATATTTCAGAAGAATTCCATATCATGTGGCTATTCCTTTCTGACTCAGAATAATGAAATTTGTCTTAGTGCAGAATCCGAGGTTCTCACACTCACAGTTCACTCACGGAGCTGCGCCCTTCTTGAGAAACCGCCAGTTGTGCGGCTTCTCAAGAGATTACCAGTTCATTGTCATATCCACTGGTCCCTATCCTGAGCCATATCGATCCAGTCCATACCATCCCATCCTGTCTCTCTAGTTAGATAGTTAGTTAGTTAGTTATTGGAGAGGGTGGGTTTCCCCCTTGCACTGAGACCTGTATTGGTCCATTGTGCTTCCCCCTATGATTTCTACCAGTCTCTATATCCTACCGGTACTGGTGCTTACCATCAGTCCCGCCCAGCCAGCGAGACCGGCTCTATTAGCTGAGAGGTATCTATAATGCTTCCCCCATCTACCAGAGGTATTAGAGACTGCTATTGGGCGGGAAACGTCCGTTAATTGGCTCAGTGACCTCCTTTGGAGATATGAGGTTGTTTTATGTGCCGTAAAGCTACGACACGGGACCCAGGGCTTAAAGTCCCTCCCGGAGGACTTGTTCCCTGAATTTTTCCGCCCTTAAAAATTCGACGACTTCCGCCGGGTATTTGAACCCGCGTACTACGAGTCATGAGGTGGGAACCTTACCTCTAGACTACGGAGGCCGCTTATCCTCTCTCTCTAAGATCCATTTTAATATTGTCCTCCCACCTACTTCTCGATCTTCCTAGTGATCTCTTTCTTCTGGCTTTCCCACCAATATGCATTCATCCTCTCCCCCATTCGTGCCACGTGCCCTGCCCATCTCATCCTCTTTGACTTGTTCATTCTATTTATACTTGGTGAAGCGTACAGATTATGAAGTTCCTGATATTTATGAACAATTATATCCCAAAAGATAAAAACTCTTCAAATATCTGTTCGTATTTTGGGAAATATATAAAGTTGATATAGCGCTCTTGAAATACACCAGGAGCCTAGAATTGACATGAAATGTGAAGTTCTCGCAACTGTGAAAATATAGACTATGGGCTGAACTTAGGAACTGAAAGTGCCGTGAAACAATCATAGAACACAATACCCTGGGCTGTCTGTCTCTAGGTGGTTAGCAGCGTTAGGGGAACCTAAAAAGGCCGGGAACTTATCTTAGAAGATGTGAACTCGAATGCGTTGGCTTAGGATAGAGACAAATTGTGGGCCTTTGTCAAAATGATAATGGAACATCGAGCAGCACAACACGGAATATCATCTCGCTCACAAAGGCCATGTACTACGAAGATAAAGCGTCTGGAAGAGTCTGCTGCCCCAGTGTTTCTCAGATAGTGGAACGCAACCCACTGTTGGGACCTCACGTCTTGGTGGGTAGGACATGATTTTTCCAAAACAAGGTATTTAATGACTATTAGCATACTTTTTTTATCTTTAAAAAATAAAATTGGCTTGTGATATCACCTTTCTGTCTGTGTGCCTATGAGTCTCTATATGTATTTCTCCAAATATTTTTTGAATACCTCAACCAGTATTTATGAAATTTGGTATGCATACTATGGCACCTGAGCCCATCTTAACGTCCTACTGCATGAATCCCTCCCACCCGTAATACTAACAGCCTCCCAAATTTCTAAGTCGAAAATGTGAGTTAGCATGAATGTCTGTAGCAAACTTTATGAAATTTGGTATATGTACCATGCCACATAAAGCCATCTCAACGTTGGACATCATAAATCCCTCCCATCAGTAATAATAATGTTGCTGTCTCTCAAATTTCTGAAAATAAGTC